GCCCTGGCTGACAAGGAGCTCCTGCCCTGTGTCCGGCAGGAGGCGAAGGAGATCCTGCTCCAGAAAGGCGTGCAGCTGCTGCTGAGTACGTGCCGTTCCCCTTGCCCTGCCCTCTCCCTGGCCCAGGGAGATTGGGCTCGAGGCTTGGTCACTGCCCCCAGCTAGAGGGTGGCCACAGTCTCTGAGTCCTGGGGTTGAGCATCAAAGCCCATTTGAGCCCTGATGTCCAGCCGGAGGTTGTGTCTGCCCTCGGCAGGGCACAGGCCCTCGTGCTTACAGGATTTCATGTCACGGACCAGCACTGTCCTGGCTATTGGTTTGGACAAAGTGCAGATGGTACCTATTTGTTGAATGATTTAAAAAAAATCATCTAAGGATTTGACCTGAATTATGATGTCTCTGTGGTGGAGAGAATAGGTTTTTTGGTTTGTATCTTGAGGGTGGTGAGGAGTGTGGCTTTTGTCCAGAGCAAGAGGGAAGAGAACCACCCAGCAGCTAGTGAGTGGGGCTCTAACCCCAGGGGTGTCCTCCACAAGTCGTGGGGCTCAGCCTCTTTGTTTTTTTCAGGGAGGGGGTGTCTGCTCTATGAAGCCCAGGCTGGCTCTTGTCTCCTTGCTCCCAGCAGTACTGTGATCACCTCTACTTTTAGGCAGTGAGGAGGGCAGTGGCTTCACCTTTGTCGGTGTGTCTGGAGGGCCTGTGCTGCCTGAGCAGAGTGGCATAGCTCACAGTCGGGGAGGCATGTTGGAGGTCTTCCTCAAATAGCTTTTCCCAGAACTTGGGAAACTCAGCCTCAAATTGCTTCTTGGCACTTTCCTCCCATTGTATCCCTTGGGGCCTGGTGTCCAGATTGTGCTTGTGGGGGTAGCAGGTGGACTGGGAGAGGAGCAGGGCGGGAAGGGGGAGTGGAATCATTGCCTACTTGGGCCACAGCATCCAGGCCTTTCCTGGGGCCTTCAGGGGTCTCCAGACTCCCCCGGGGTCAGCTTTGGCGTGGACCAGCCTTGTCCACCCTCTGCCAGCCTCCTGGTCACAGACTTCCCTTGACAGGTGAGCGGGTGAGTAACATGGCGGAGTTGCCTTTCAATGAGTATCGCGAGTGCATCAGTGTGCAGACGGACAAAGGCACTGAGGTGGCCACCAACCTGGTGATTGTCTGCAACGGTATCAAGATCAACAGCTTTGCCTACCACCGTGCCTTTGGTAAGCAGGTGGCAGAGCCACTGTCCACTCCTCAGGTTGCCTCCTCACTGCCCAGCGTCCAAGGCCCCTCAGGCCTTTCCCCCAGGAATCGGCAGCCCCTACCTTTCCCCTCCATCCCAGCAGCTCTTTTGTCTCATCTGAATGGTGGCATCAAACTTTAAATTTAGGTTCAGGTTCACTCTTGCTGTCCTTTCCTCAGCTGTGATAATGATGGCTTAGCCCAAGATGTGCAAGGCGAGGAGACTCTTCCAAAATCGGGGCCCGCCCCCAAGCAGCAAGAGATGAGAACAGGTTTCAGAGAGCTGAAAAGATCTGCTTTCTGTTCCTGTCCTTGGATCACGGATGCAGAGGAAATCCTGGGGTCAGGGCTTTCTCTCTTCCCAGGTGTGCTGCTCTCCCCAAACCCTGACCATTTGGGGAGTGGGGGCAATATTGTGGCTTCGTGTCCTTAAAGCTCAATATTGGACCATCGAGCTGATGGAAACATGGAGCAGGTGGACTCCTGCCTCTGTGTGTGAATGGAGACTCAGTGGCTCCGTGTCAGGCCCCATGTTGCTGTGTCCTCAGGTTCCCTCATGTATGCCTGAGTCCCATTCCTGCCCGGGGAGCTCCTCCTCTGTGCCTGCAGGAAAGACTTATCCCATCCCAGAGGAAGGAAGCTAGTCCAGGCCAGGCATGTGGGTGGAACTGAGGGTTAATGGACAGAGAGCCCAAAACTTAACACCCAATTGTCCTAATGATATACTTCAAAGATAAACTTTTAAGTCCCTTAAAATAAAAAGTTTATCATTTATTAAAGCCCTGTATTTATTTTAAAAATCTGATCCACGTTCAAAAGAAAATTCAAGACTTGACCAAGTTGTGAACGTAAGCACTGTGTTAACCATGGTAACGTACAGAGTCACGCACAGAAAATGACCCGCGCTGTCTTTCTGACCAGTTTCCACGCTGGAGTGGTACCCTTGCCTCTGCAGGAGGAGTTCTGGG